CAGAGTATTCCATTGTGTAGATGTACCACAGTTTTCTAATCCACTCGTCTCCTGATGGGCACTTAGGCTGTTTCCAAATCTTAGCTATGGTGAATTGTGTTGCTATGAACATATGGGTGCATATATCCTTTCTGATTGGAGTTTCTGATTTCTTGGAATATATTCTGAAAAGTGGGATTACTGGGTCAAATGGGAGTTTCATTTTTAATTTTTTGAGGAAACTCCATACTGTTTTCCACAGTGGCTGCACCAGTCTGCATTCCCACCAGCAGTGCACGAGAGTTCCTTTTTCTCCATATCCCTCGCCAACACTTGTCATTTGTTGATTTGTTGATGATAGCCATTCTGACAGGTATGAAATGGTACTTCATTGTCGTTTTGTCTTGCATCTCTCAGATGATTAGTGACTTTGAGCATGTTTTCATATGTCTCACGGCCTTCTGCATGTTCTCTTTTGAAAAGTGTCTACTTAGGTCCTTTGCCCATTTTTTTATTGGATTGTTTATCTTCTTTTTGTTAAGTTGTATGAGTTCCCTGTAAATTTTGGAGATTAAACCCTTATTGGAGATAACATTGCATATATGTTCTCCCATGCAGTGGACTTTCTTGCTGTTTTGTTGATGGTTTCTTTTGCTGTGCAGAAGCTTTTTCTTTTGATGTATTCCCATTTGTTTATTTCCAATCTATATATATAAAAGCCTAAGTGACCATTACGACCGGCCGACCAAACGACTGGTCTCTATGATGCGCATTGACCACCAGGAGGCAGATGCTCAACGTAGGAGCTGCCCCCTGGCGGTCAGTATGCTCCCACAGCCAACCTCCCGCAGCTGGCCAACCTCCCGTGGTCCCTCCCCCCCGGCTGGCCATCCCCAATTGACCCCGATCGGCTCTGATCGCCACCAGGCCAAGGGACCCTACCAGTGCACGAATTCGTGTAGCAGGCCTCTAGTAGTTCTTATAATAACCTGGCATTTATGTGCCTCGCTCAAAAAATAATTATTGCCCTGGCCAGGTGGCTCAGTTAGTTGGAACATCATCCCATATACCAAAAGTTTGTAGGTTCGATCCCTGGTCAGGCATGTATAGGAGGCAACTGATCAATGTTTCCCTCTTATATCGATATTTCTCTCTAAAAATCAATAAAAACATATCTTTGGGTGACGATTACATATATATAACAAATTATAAATTAACAAATGTATGATTCTAATAAAATTTGCAATTTTTCTGGAAATTGGCCTATTGATTCTAAAATGTATATGGAAGCCGGAGCCAGTTTGGCTCAGTGGATAGAGCATCAGCCTGCGGACTGAAGGGTCCTGGGTTCGATCCTGGTCAAGGGCACATGCCTGGGTTGCGGGCTTGATCCCCAGTTAGGGGGGCATGTAGAAGGCAGCCAATCAATGATTCTCTCTTTTTTAAAATATATATTGTTATTGATTTCAGAGAGGGAGAGGGAGATAGAAACATCAATGATGAGAGAAAATCATTGATCAACTGCCTCCTGCACACCCCCTACAGGGGATCGAGCCCACAACCCGAGCTTTTGCCCTTGACCTGAATTAAACTCTTATCTACAAGGCCAAACTGGCTAGGGCTCAATGATTCTCTTATCATTTATGTTTCTCTCTCTCTCTCTCCCTCTCCCTTGCTCTCTGAAATCAATAACAATATATTTTAAAAATAGCTTTAAAAAAATAAATAAAATGTATATGGAAGAATAAAGGTGCAAAAATAGCTAAGATACTATAAAAATGAAAAAGAGATATCCACTCTACAAAATACTCAGTTCCAAAGCTACAGTAACTAAGTATGACATTGCTATGGGTGTACATAGCTCACTGAACAGAACCAAGTCCACAGACAGATGCCAGCAAATATGGGTGCATGGGGGTATGACAGTAGAATCACAAATCAACTGGGAGACTCCTAACAATGGTGTTGGGGTAACTGTTTCACATGAAGAAAAATTAAAAATTGACTTCTGAACTTATACCACACAAAAATAAATTCCAGATAAGATTTAGCATTCAAAAAATCCTCTAAAACTATAAGGAAAAAGATTACTATATGGCCTCATGGTAGAGATGGCTTCTCAAGGCACCAAACTAAACCCCACAAACCATAAAGGACAAGATATATTGGTTTGATTAAAAATTAAAAACACTATGTCCATCAATAGATGAGTGGATAAAGATGTGATGCTTATATACAGTGGCATATTAGATTAGTCATAAAAAAAGAATGGCATTTTACCATTCCAACATGGACCAAGAGGGTATTATGTTACATGGAATTGGTCAGAGGACAAATATATGATTTCGCTTATAAGTGGAATCTAAAAAACAAAACAAAACAAAAAAACTCAGAGAACAAACTGATGGTTGCCAGATGTGAGATGGGGGATGGATGAAAAAGGTGAAAGGGATTAAGCACAAATTGCATTATGAAGACAGTCACAGGGATGTAAAGTACAGCATATGGATTATAGCCAATAACTATGCATCGTGCCAGGTGGGCACTTAGACTTATCAGGGTGACCACTTCACTGTTATATGTTTAACTATGTGTACACCTGAAACAAACATAACATTGTATATCAACTGTAATTAAAAAATAAATTTAAAAATTAAAAAGATGCATGATAAAATGTAAAAGGCAAGTAAACTGGGAGGTATTTGGGATGTTACTCCTGGAACTCGGGAAGAAAAAGCCAAATAGCCCAAGCGATAACCAGGCAAAGAAATACTCTGGTGCCATACTAGTGAGGAAGTCCTAATCGTCAACGCAGATGAAAAAATGCCCAGACCCATTAGGAATCCCAGAAAAGTCCAGGAAAGTAACAGTATTTTTCATTCACTATATTAACAAAATTTCGTCAAGACAGTATCAAGTGCTAACGAAGACATGGGAAACAGAAGCTTTGGAACTCTAGTAAGGCTGCAAAACAACCATTTTGAAGATGGTTGAGCTCTTATCTACCCAGGGTGCACGTGTTTTATGACACAGCACAGGAGACGCAAAAGGCGGTTTCTGCAGCATTGTGCCTACAGAAAAATGCTGATACACCTAAATGCCCACTAATAGAGACGACACAAAACGTGCATATTTATTCAGCAGAATACAGTGGTTATAAGTAGATTGTACAAATCAGAATAGAGCCCCCAGACACAGTGAGTGAAAATAAAGGATACAGACAGCTTGAAGATATTTATGTACATTTTTGACACCAAAACAGTATTATTTCCTTATACCAGGTAAAGATGTAAAGAATGGGTGAATATATAGATTCATTGTGGTGGTTGCCTCTGTAGAGTACAGAGGGGAACAGGACTGAGAATTGGTTACATAAGGAATTTGACTTACATCACAATGTATCTTAAAAGGGGGTGCATTACTTTTGGATGATGGAAATGTAGGCGTCTGTTATTTGTACTTTTTGGTGACTTTGTCAAATTTTCATTTGCAGCGCACTTCCCCTGGTGTTCAACTGTGCTGTTCCAATACTGGCAGGAAAACTGCTGGAGCTCAGCAGAATGCTGAACTTCACACATTTCAATGATGTTCAAAGTAAAAGCTGACCATACATCATTTTAGCCTTAACCGACAAACTTCAGCATTCTTTTCTTTTCTTTATGTATTTTTATTGATTTCAGAGAGGGAGAGATAGAAACATTGATGAATCACACTTCCTACCGGGGATCAAGCCCGCAACCTGGGCATGTGTCCTTGACTGGATTCGAACCCTGGACCCTTCAGTGGGCAGGCTCTATCCAGAGCCAAACCAGCTAGGGCTTAATTCTTTTCTAAGCTGAGACCCAGAGCATTCATCAACATGCACACTGAAGAGCAGACTACGTGTAAAGCACTTCTTCATTTAGATACGGATTTTTTGTTTGCTTATTTATTTTATTGTTGATAGTATTACAGATGTCTCCCCATTTTCTCTTTTGCCCCCCCTCCCCCTCCACCTAAACTCCAAAGGCCTGGGATAGATAAGAATTTTTGAGGGTCCAATCATATGCTTGAAATTAAGTTAACCAAAATCCCTTTTCTCCAGTGCCACCTGGTGGGAAAAAAGAGGCAATCTCATCCGTGCCTTCCACAAAACCCCACATTTGCAGTTCTCAGAGTACTATTTTTCTTTTTCAACGAAGCACCCACTTTTATTCTGAGGCTACTGTGCAGCACCCTGGTAACTCTACTTTCTTTACAGCCTTTCTCAAACTGAACTCTCAGCCTACATATTAGACAAGAACTTCTGCATTCACCCACATTTCAAACCCTCTAGAGCAGTGGTTCTCAACCTTCTGGCCCTTTAAATACAGTTCCTCATGTTGTGACCCAACCATAAAATTACTTTCGTTGCAACTTCGTAACTGTAATGTTGCTACTATCATGAATCGTAATGTAAATATCTGATTTGCAGGATAGTCTTAGGCGACCCCTGTGAAAGGGTCGTTTGACCGCCAAAGGGGTCGCGACCCACAGGTTGAGAACTGCTGCTCTAGAGGGAACAATTCCAACCGTTGATTTCTATATTGAAAACTAGTGTCATTTTGCTTTATATAAACTTGATGGTAAGCCTTTTTTATTTAAGGACTTTTAAAATATAACATCAACACTATAAATATGCGGTGAGAATTATAAATAGTCCCTTCTTCCAAGTATGGATGGAGATAGTACAAAACATACAGTATCTTACCGAGAGCCAATAAAATAAGCTAGGTTTTTCAGACATTAAAGGAAAATATCAACATTTAAAAAAAGGGGGGGGGGGTAAAAAGAGTAACCAGATTACTAATCCCCCAATTTGCAATACTGAGTTCCTTCCTCCTTTTACAATCCAGAGACATAAGTAAGCAGGGTAGTAAAAATACTCTGGAAAATGCCAATTGTACTCAGACAAATCAATTCTAAATGGTTTTCCATTAGTGTTTTATGTGGCTATGATTCCATTTGAACTTAAAAACCTGCTAAATAGACAGCTTTTTAAAAACTGTTTCCAATTTAGTGAGAGCAGAGGATGAAAATAAATAAAGTCAAAGGCACTCCCTCCCTCAGAGGCTCAAAACTGTTAGGATTTTGGTGTAAGTTTAAATTTAGCAAGTTTCAGTCATTTCTTTTAGATGCTCCTGCAGGTTCATACAAACACACTGAACTGTTGGTTTAACTTCTCTTTCTTTCTCAAAGTTTATGATAAAGAGACTAATCCCTGTATTGGCACTGACTGATGTAAGTTCAGATTTGCTCAGAGTTTCTGGTAAGGAACACTCAAGGTCATTCAGAAAATAACCGAACAGGCTTTTCATGTAAGCACCGTGACTCACTACTAAGACACTGGCTACTAATTCTGGAGCGCTGCTGTCTGAATTAAATTTGGAGGCACAGCTTTTTCCTAAAGGGAATATCTCTGCCAAAGAAGTTGCCAGACAGTTGCTTGGAGTTTCTAAGGAACACGATTCTTTTTTATCTGCTTCCTTCCAGATCAGTTGACAAAGAAATTCAAAAAAGTCTATTCCACGCATCTTCACCTACAAGGAGATCAAGGGTGAATTAAAGTGACATTGTTGACTGTCTTAAAACATAAGCATAAAGCCTGATTGGATTTTTCTAATGTCATAAAATACTATTTCTTTTGTTGTTAATCCTCATGAAGATTTCTTTCCATTGCTTTTCAAAGAGAGTGGAAGGGAGAGAGGAAGAGGAGAGGCAGAGAGAAAGTGAAAAACATCAACGTGAGAGAGACACATCAATTGTTTGCCTCCCAAACACACCCCAACCGGGGGCAGGGAGCGAACCTGCAATGCAGGTACATGCTCTTGACCGGGATTCAAACCTAAGACCCTTCAGTGTGGGGGCCGATGTTCTAACCAGTGAGCCACACAGGCCAGGGCAAAATGCTGTATATCTATGCATTCAGTCAGTAGTTCCATGGACATTAGTAAGTGCCCACCATACTTCGGGAAACTATGAAAGCACACTGGGGACAAAGAAGAGTAAGATACAATTCCTAATCCCTAGCTCAAAGCACTCACAGTCTAGTTTGGAAAATATGCAAGTAAACAGAAGCCCATAAAACAGTATTAACTAGGAGACTACATCTGACACTTCAGTGTACTTAGAACAAGGACACAAAAAAAAAACACTTTTCCTTCCTAAATTTATAGAAATTTTTTACATGAAAGTAATGAATAGGGGGGAAATAACCAATAATACAATTCAAAAGCAGAACAGTCCAAAGAAAGGCAAGCCGGGTGATGCTGTCAGGGAGGCAGTAGAGGCCTGAAGATTTCAGTGTGAATTAGTTTGCCTCTCAGGTGTTCTGCTTGTCATTCTTGAACGTCACCACCTGCTTTACTGACTACCACTAGCACTGCTGAAGGTACTGCTTCATATTCAGAGTTTTCTTAACAGTAATATGTAATAACACACATCCTTTCCATCCACTATCAGCTATGACTGCCAACTTAAAATCAACAAGAAAGCCAGGATAGCTTAGAAAGGAAAAAACAGTATCACGCAGAGTTGTTTTATAAACCAAACAACTTTCAAACTGCTTAGCTAAAATTTAGGAACATCTAAATTACAAAAAACAAAAAAAACCCTGGCTGGTTTGGCTTAGTGGATAGAAAGTCAGCCTGCGAACTGAAGGGTCCCAGGTTCGAATTCGGTCAAAGGCACATGCCAGGGGTTGTGGGCTCGATCCCCAGTAAGGGATATGCAGGAGGCAGCTGATCAATGATTCTCTCTCATCATTGATATTTCTCTCTCTCCCTTTCCCTTCCTCTCTAAAATCAATAAAATTTAATTTAATTTAATTTAATTTAATTTAATTTAATTTAATTTAATTAAAAAATGGAAATTACAAAAAATGTCAGGTCCTGGCCGGTTTGGCTCAAAAGGTGGTGTGTTCGATTCCCTGTCAGGGCATATACCTAGGTTGTGAGTTCCATCCCTGGTCAGGGTGCATGTGGGAGGCAACTGATGAATGTTTCTCTCTCCCCCTTCCTCTCTCTAAACATTTTTTTAAAAATATATTTTATTGATTTTTTACAGAGAGGAAGGGAGAGAGATGGAGAGTTAGAAACATCGATGAGAGAGAAACATCGATCAGCCGCCTCCTGCACATCTCCTACTGGGGATGTGCCCGCAACCCAGGTACATGCCCTTGACCGGAATCGAACCTGGGACCTTTCAGTCCGCAGGCCGACGCTCTATCCACTGAGCCAAACCGGTTCCGGCAATTTTTTTTTTTTAAGTCAGATTTCAGCTACTGTGACATTGGCTAGTTCATCACATGCCCCAGGGCTACGTACCTGGTCTAAGGTCTCTCCTCCAGGTGGTGTGAACCCAGGGCATTCTTCCCCAGCTTCTTTGGCCATTGCCCTCAGCTCACTCAGCCCCTTGCCTTCTGCAACCCCGTATTTCTGCAATATCCAATAGACAACAGTGCCTCCAGTTAACTTGCAATATAACAATTAAGTACAAGTTTATGACAAATTTAGAACAATCATCCTCATGAAGACGTGTGGTTTCCTTCTACTTACCCTATTATATCACCTCTGAACTGATAATTCCCCACAATGATAATGGATTACTTGCATAATAAAATATTGAAGGAGACAAACCATTTTTTATAGTTTGCACTGATGATACCAGAAGAGTCCAACAACACCATCAGTCAGAGTCCAATAGTAAAATATTATTTTTTATAAGAGAATAGGCACATTTTTCCAGGTGCTCTTATAATCCTCAAGTCCAACTTCTAACATTCTCAGTTATATCTGGAGTAACCTCTATTACAAAGAGGAACATTAATTATCATCACTGGCTTTGTTTTTTTAAGAATGGAAACATCCATTGGTTCAATATTCCAAACACTACGCTGAAGCATGGTAGGCAGGAAGGCCACAGTGAAGAAGAGCAGGGAGACACGTGGCTCCCGCCCCTGCGGAGATGGCAGTGTGGTGGAGACACTAGCCTAGGAACGGCAGGAAGTGCTGTGATGGAGGGAAATACCGACACAGACACATACAGCAGAGACATCATTGAAGGCCCAAGCCTTGGGGTAGGTGGAAGTGGGCCAGGTTTAAGGAGCAAGTATTCCAGGCCGAGTGAGGAAAGAGCACAGGCTGTTTGGGCGACGCCAGATGCCAAGATCTCTGAGAGACACGTGAACAGAGGTCCAGAACATAGACCACAGAGCCCAGCGGCCTCGATTTTCATTAAGCTCTGCAATAAACTAGCTCTGTTACTCCGAGCATGGGCTTGATCTCTGTGTGCCTTTGTTTCTGCACCTGTAAAATGGGGGCTAAAACATGAGGTTTTTGAATCTTTACATCAGGTTGTTGCAAAGATTAATAAACTTGCAGAGCTTGCAACAGGGCCAGAATGTGATGAGCACCATGTAAGTGCTTGCTAATATTATTAAACTGGCCACCAAGCACCAGGGAAGGGGAAGGAGGCAGGTGGAGACAACAGGTCAGATCCCACAGCACGCTCACAGCCAAACAGGTAAGAGTTTAGACAACCTTTGAAGACAAAAGGGAAGTAGCAGACTCTTTTATACAGGTGTGCAGCGACCCAATTTTCCAAAGATTACTCTGGCTTGTGGTGTGGACATTGGATTGAAAAAGGAGTGCAGTGAACAGGAAAACCTAGGTGACAGTGATCTAGGGGACAGAGGACAGTGAACTGCAGTAGATGGCAGCAGTGGGTTTGCAGAGAGAGGAAGGATTCAAGAACTATTTAGAGGTAGAATTGACAAGAGGACAGATGTGCAGTGTGAGGTACAGTGAAGAGTCAAAAATGAACGATTTGAACTGGGTAAAGCAGGAGCCCAATGGAGAGGAGAGTGTAGCTTGCTGAGCAGGAAGTAGCTGGGGGGCATTCAAACAGAAATAAACAGTAGGCAGTTTGATACAGTTTAGGGATCTAAGCTAAAAGTACCCATTTGGAAATCAGCTCATTAGCAGAAATCATAAGAGAGGATGTAATTACTCAGGGAGAGAGCGAAGAGATGGTGCAGCCGAATGATCAATAACACTTGCTACTCCTTGATGATGACAGGCCCTGTTTGGTGTTCACTGAATTCAAGGCGCTTTTGTTTACCATTTGAGCAAAATGAGCCTTTCCAAGCAGCACGTATGCTGGAGCTCTAGTATGTATGTTGAGCCATAACAGAGAACATAAGCACATTAAGTAAAGTAATTCTTTAAAGATGTCCTAGCCATTCTGTTACATTTCTGTCTGGTTATGTAAGAAATCACAGGGCTGGCAGGGGCGTTAGGTGTTTTATAGGTCAGAGTTATAGAGCATAATAAAAAGTCTTCTAGGAGACCTGGAGCCAAATCTCAGATGTGAAATTGTTCTACAGCTTTAGCTAAATCACAGTTTCAAAAAGATTCATTTCTGGTATCTAAAATGGGCTACTTATGCTTAAAATCAGGCAGTAGAACTGGGAAGCTGAGGGAGAGAGGTTTTCAATTTTATTTTAAATTCTTCTGTACTGTGTTAAATTCTTTTTTTTAAAATATATATTTTAATGTGTTTTTTTTTAGAGAGAGGAAGGGAGAGGGACAGAGAGTTAGAAACATCAATGAGAGAGAAACACTGATCAGCTGCCTCCTACATACCTCCTACTGGGGATGTGCCCGCAACCAAGGTACATGCCCTTGACGGGAATCGAACCTGGGACCCTTCAGTCCGCAGGCCGATGCTCTATCCACTGAGCCAAACCGGTTAGGGCCACTGTGTTAAATTCTTACAAATATACCTTGCGCTTTTATAATTTAAGATGTATATCATATGATTTCACCTGGCCGGGAGATGCAGTTGGTTGGAACATTGTCCCATACACCAAAAAGGTTGTGGGTTCTATTCCTGGTCAGGGCACATACCTAGGTTGCTGCAGGTTCGATCCCTGGTTGGGGAGCATACAAGAGGCAACCGTTCAATTTGCTCTTTCACATCTCTCTGCCCCCACCTTCCTCTCTCTCTCTCTCAAAAAAGAAAAAAAAAAAAAAGAAAAAAAAATCAATGAACATATCCTTGGGTGAGGATTAAAAATTTTTTAAAAATGTGTATCATATGATTTTAATCTATATATCTATATATACTAGAATATGCTAATTAACCGGGACACCGTAACGGGTCGATCGGACAGGAGGAGGTTGCACACGGAGCGTCGGGGGCGGGGCGCAGAGGCCTCCGCACACCTGCGCTGGGGGAGGGCCTAATCAGAAGTGGCCGCGGCTGCTTCAAGGGCCTGAGAGGGAGGCAGGGCCAACCAGCAGCAGTTGTGGCTGCTGCGGGGCCCAGGGAGCGAGGCAGGGCCGGACCGGAGACTCGAGGGTGCACAGCGCTGCACAATTTCGAATCGCCTGCTGGGCTCCTAGTAGTTAAATAAGATACTATCTATGCTATCTCTGAGAGTATGTAACAGTGACTATTACAGGATAGATCCTCAACAAATGTTAGCTGTTTCCATATTTCTAGCAGTAATTAATTTTTAGCCATATGATAACCTGAGGTAGTTGTTGATGACTATGGCAAAGAATAATACATAAGCTACTTACTCTTTCTCGAAGTCTTGAATCATACTTCACTGTCATATGTTGGCAACATTTGTTCTTCTCCAAAATCCCATGCACTGTCTGAAAATCGAAAGATAACTGTTTCTCTTCTCATAAAAATAATCATTCTGGCCAAGACATCAAAATAATACATACCTTCTTAATGAATAAAAAAGAACTAGAAATCATTTTCCTTTGTAAAAGTTACCTCTCGGTACTGCTCATCCTTTCCCTCTTCATGCCAGATTTTCATATTTCCTTCTACCCTAATTTCTAATTCAGCAGTCAGCAAACTATAGGCTATAGACCAAATCCAGACCATCACTTTTTGTGAATAGTTTTATTAGAAAACAGCCATTTACGTATTGTTTAGGCTGCTTTCACAGTACTACAGCAGAGTTGAACAGTTGTGACTGAGATCACATGACCCACCTAACTTAAAATACTTACTCTCTGGCTCTTTATAGAAAAGGTTCTGGTTCATTAATCTCCATTCAAGGTGTCTAAATTGCTGTTAAACCCATTGAGTCTTAATTTTGGTATTATTTTCAGTTCTAGAATTTGCATTTGATTTTTGTTTATACTTTCCTGTTCTCTGCTGAAATTCTCAATGCTTTTACCTCTGCATTGAATGGTTATTTTAAAGCCTTTGTCTGATAACTCCCATTATCAGCTAACTGCCATGGCTACTTCTGCTGCCTTTTGTACTTATTTATTTTTGTTTCCTTCTCATTGTGTGCTTGGTTACTTTTAATGGACAAGGGACAGTGTATTTGCAAAACTAGTAATTTAAGTCCACAACCAGCCTTATTTTTTAATACCCTACCCACAAATTAGACATTATCATTGTTACTATTTTATATTATAAATAGTTGTTTATATTGACCTAAACCTTTACTAATTTATTTGCTCATTTTTTTTCTAAAACTCATACTTTCCTTATGGAATTATTTTTCTTCTGTTACCCTGTGAAAGTTCTTTACTTTCAAGCCTGTTTGTCTGAAATGCTCTCATTTCACCTCTACTCTAGAAAACATTTTGCTGGGTATAAAACTCTAGGTTAATCCTACTGTCTCTCAGCATATTAAAAAAATTACTGATACTGTCAAATTGGTTGATAGCCTAATATTGGTGTTTAGTACATGATACTTTTCCTTTCTATTCTTTGGAGTTTTGCAATTTTGTTTTAAGTGTAGATGTAGGGTTTTCTTTATCCTGTGTTTTGTTACACTTTCTGGATCTGATCATTTGTTATCTTCCAACAATTCTGTAGAATTATCAGCTTTGTCCCAAGAAACCTTTATAAAGATTTTCCTCGTTTTCTTTTTTCCTTAATTTAATTTTTAATTGTTGACATTATAGATGTCACCCATTTGACCCTCTCCATCTAGACCCCACCCTCCCATCCCTCTGGCCCTCACCACATTGTTGTCTGTGTCCATGGAGTATGCATATATGTTCTTTGACTATTCTCTTCACCTTCTTTCATCCCACCTGCCGACCTCCCCGCCACCCCCAATCTGTCAGTCTGTACCATGTATCCATGTCTCTGGTTCTATTTTGTTTGTCAATTAATTTTTTTCATCAGGTTCCATATAGAAATGAGATTATATAGTATTTTTCTCTGACTGGCTTATTTCCCTTAGTATTATAATCTCCAGGTCCATCCATGCCGTCATAAAAGGCAAGAGTTCATTCCTTTTTACAGCCACATAGTATTCTATTGTGTAAATGTACCACATCTTTTTAAAAAAATATATTTTATTGATTTTTTAACAGCGAGGAAGGGAGAGGGATAGAGAGTTAGAAACATCGATGGGAGAGAAACATCGATCAGCTGCCCCCCGTACACCCCCCCCACTGGGGATGCACCCACAACCAAGGTACATGCCCTTGACCAGAATTGAACCCGGGACCCTTCAGTCCGCAGGCCGACGCTCTATCCACTGAGCCAAACCAGTTAGGGTGTACCACATCTTTTTTATCCACTACTCTACTGATGGGTATGGGCTGTTTCCAGATCTTGGCTACTTATCTACACTAATAAAAGAGAAACATGGTAATTGGCGTACGACCGCTACCCTTCCAATTGGCTAATCAGGGAGATATGTAAATTAACTGACAGCCAAGATGGCGGCCGGCAGCCAGGCAGCTTAAAGCGAACATGAGGCTTGCTTCCTTCATTGAAGGAGGAAGCCAACGTTCCCCGCCTGCGCCTGCGCTGCCGGCCTCTGAGCTGGCAGTTTGAAACTTTGTAACACTTTCAGCCAGCCGGGATCTCAGAGCTGAAGTTATACATTGTTTC